GCAATTCCTGGCGCAGGTGAGCGGCTGCGCCGGCCCCGGGAGCTCCCGCGCTCTGGAGGGGGGACCTCTGTTGGGATGGGGAGCAGCAGCCGGGCGGAGAGCCGTAACGGGTAAAGCCGGGTGCCGGCCCAGCGCTGCTCCCGGGGCCCTGGCGGGGTCTGTGGGGCCTCGCTGGGTCGGACGGTGCTTCTAGGTGTGAGAGGCGCCTTTGGTGGCTAGTAACGGTACAGGGCAGAGCCCGGGCTGCGCGGCAGCAGCGGGGGGGTGCCGCAGCCCTCCATGGCGGAGGGGGCTCCTGCAGGGTATTGGTGCTCAAGCCGCGGCCCGCTTTTTCTGGAGGAAAGAAGACGGCGTCCTTCGAACCCCACGCTGCGCCTTCACCTCTGTGCTGTGTGACCTTCGCGATTTAGCGGTATCTTTATATGCGTATGTCTGGATTTGCTCGTAGTTTTTTTTTTTTTTTTCCCTTCTTTCCGTAGTTAACACCGTGTTCCTCGTAGTTCTTAGAGTCTCTGTCAGGCCAGGAGCCTTCTCCAGGCAGCCCTTCGGGAGGGGCGTGCAGGCCAGTGCTGGGATCCTCGCAGCAGGGACGACTCTTGGCTTTGGGTTCATCCTAACTGACAAACTCACTCGCTCTGAGAAAGCAGCCAGCAAAAAAGGGGATTTGTGCTGAACCTGACCCCACTGCCTGTCTGGAGTGTTGCATTCTATTACTTACAGTACTAATAAGTTTTGTGGGATAAATATTTAAGGGTGTGACAAACTAAGTATATAATCCTGATACAGGAGAGGATGGGTTTTTAGTTATTGCATGGTACATAGCTTTTGTATTTTAAGTTCAGGTGGTTTGTGTTCTGAAAATGTTGTCGTGTAATTTAAATTTCTTAATGGTTTATTAGGTAATTTGGAGGGTACTGTGTCTTCTTGAGTATTATTGGTGTGACATCTTCACGCAACAGTCTTAATTTTTCCCTCTTCCATACCTGTGTTTTTACTGATTCCTTTCCAGTAATCTTTAGTGGCAGAATAGTCTGGTTGCCAGTTAACTTCTTTTTTATTTCTGTCATCCCCTTTTTTCTTTGCCTCTGTCATCTTTTCCTGTATCATCCCTTCTTTATTCCCCATATGCCCTGTGCACTTTGGCACCTCAGTGCTTCAATTGGACTGGTAGTGCTACCATAGGCCTCACAAATTAATAAGGTATAAGAATGGTCAAGGACTGGTATGGAACCCATTTGATCCAACAGCTTGGAAAAGGTGAGCACATCACAGTTTGGAAGGACAGCAAGCAAGACGTGGGTGGATACTTGGAGGTCTTGGCTTCAGCTGCATGCATTGCAGCATACTGCCTTCTGTAAGCGAGTCATTTAGTATGTTTGTGCAGTAGAACAGTGTCAGCATGCTTGAGCAAGCTTTGAACGGGCTGGCCGGAGTGCTGAAACAGTCCTGCTGCTGCAGCAAAAAGTGAATTTACTGTAATGCTGCTAATAAGTTTCTGTTACTGAAGCTGTCTCCTTTAAGATTTGTTTGAATACCTCGTATTTTGCAGTACATCTACATCTTTTGTACCTGCTCTTGTCTGTAGGTAGTACATCATCCCCAGCTTGAGGCAGAGAGGAGTGCTGTGATGCTCTTGTACTACTGTGACACACCAGTGACTGATGGATGGGGTTATTCTGGAGGACAAAGTTGACAGCTCTCACAATAAGCTGCGGCGTGCATTTGCTGTGTACCAGCTGTACTCATTATCAATGGCTTACTCCTGTCTTAGTGCTGTTGGACATATTTGGAATATATATTTGTCTCCCTCCTTGAGATAGGATAATAGGATTGATTTATTTTTCCCTGGGGCAGGGGGATGTAGTGTCCACATTTGCTTCTAAACTGAAATTTGCGTAGGGAGAAGGAACAGCTTGGCTAGTGAAGCATGGCTTACCCAAATGTGGGCCCTCATTTGGGAACAGCTAAGGAGGGGTGTGAGCTTAGAGATCCGAGTACAATCTGCACTTAGATCATGCTTTGGTATCCAAGTCCTCACTTTTCATTTAACTTCCCTCTCATTCTCACCATTCCCTCATGGCATTGCTGCCTCTCGGTTGTCCTGAAACAATAGCAGGTAGACATGAGCCTTTCACTAATGAAGAATACAGTAATGCGATCTACAGGGAGCATGCTAGATCTAGCTGGTCTTTACTATGCTAGCTTTCCACAGAATATTGAATTGAGGTGATGGTTTCTGTATTTAAAATCAGAGTGCTCTGATGTAGGTCAGAAAAGTTGAAAAGACTGAAATTGTGGATTAAGGTGGTGGTTGACAATTTAGTCTCATGGAATTGAGGCATTCTGAATATGAAACCGTACGGTGCTGTTGAAGGAGTGTTTTCTTTGTGTGCAAATTTGCTGTCTGGTATTGATGGTCTCCAAACTGATCGGTGCAGTTTATGGGAAAGAATGCACCCCAGCTCTCTTGGGAACTTTGCTATGTGTTTTGTGTGATGCGTACTGTAAGAGAAGGCATAGCTTGTTCATTCCTTCTTCAGGGAATACAACTCCTAGTGCCTGTGAAATCTCTCCAAGATTCAGGTGACCAAATCAACTGATAGAGGTAATGAAAGTAGGAAAAGTGTATTGGGCATCCAGGTGAGTTTGGGGACAGAGGCAGAAAGGAACAAACTAAGAATGAGCCCCTGGGTTGGCTCAGTCACTCACATTGTAGTTTCTTGCAATATGGGTGCACTGAATTCCTCCTCTCCACCTTCCTCCATCACTTAACTTGCAAGCTCCAGTGCTTGGCTCTGAGCTGCATTAATTCACTAACATGACAAAAAAAACCCCACAACCAACTCATTAAAAAAACTGGGAAGTGTTCTATTCTTTAAATGCATTAAATAAACCGTGGAAAGGCCTGATGAGGTTCAGGACAAACAATTAAATTGGCTCAGTTGCCTCTTAAGTTGTGCCCTCAAACTTTACACTTCTGTTGTGTGAAAGCCTTTTCCTTGTTTTGCAGCTATAAGCCACTTCGTCTTAATTATTCAGCAATCTTCATAAAGCTGTGATTCTAGCAGATTTCCAGCTTTGCAGTGACATGTCCCTGTTGTTGCATATGGATGTTTAATTGCAGATACTCTCTCTTTATTCATACAGGGAAGACAGATAATTCCCTGCTTAGCTGGGAGAAGTTAATTCCACGGTTTCAGGCTAGGAAGCCCATTCCTATTGAAGCTTGTAGCGCTTTCTAAATCGTATGTACTGTAAGAAGCGAGCATCAAAACACCTTATTGTCACAACAGCTGTTGTTTTCCTGTCAGTGTTTGAAAAAAAGCTGGGCTCGATATCCAAACACTTGGATAAGAGCCCTTCGGGGTTGTAGGAACAGTGTATAGGATCTACACAGGAGGTTACATTTCCCCATGGGTTAATCTAGGATATGGAGTGATCTCCAGGAACTAAGAGCTGCCATCGATCCCAGTGCATCAGCTGCACAGCTTTGAACTTAGGTTTGTTGTCTGATACCTAGTGACATAAATAAAAACAAAACTGGAAGCATGGAAGCCCTATGGTACCGAAACAAGAAACTGGTGCCTATGGCTCTGCTTAGGTGGGAGGATCAGAACAAACTTGTAGTGGCTGTTAAAGACTTCAGAACTATGCTTTGATGCCAAGTGATAATTGCTTTGTAAAAATGTCTGTTAATCCACATTCTCCATGGACTGCATTCTCCACAGACTTTCTAAAACTGTACACCCTCTTCTGCTTTTAGCCCTGCTCATATTCCCTTTAATTCCTCTCATCTATGATTTTTAACTTGGCTTTTGGCAGATAAAACCACATAGCTTCTCAAATGTTCGGAGCACTTCACATTAGGAACCCTTTACTCTCTTAATATTTATTTAAAGAACATCCATTAAGTATGCTCAGAAAGCATAATTGTGTATTATTGTCTTCAGTGTGCCGTTTGGGGATTATTACTGAGTTCCAGTAATGGTTATCTAAATGGAAATGTAGAAACACACCCTACAATTACTCTCGTTTTAAAGACGTATAGCTTATATCTTATAAAACTTTTAACTGTACAATGCGTAAAGCTGTTCAACTACAGGTACCTAGCTCCTGCAAAACTACCTGAAGATTTTGGAGGCAGTCGACATGTAGTATTCAAAACTGAGGTACTTGATGTTGGGATTTTTTAAGCCCAGTCAGACCCCGTAACAGTAAGCAGGAAACACTTCTGGTCTTTTATCCGTGTCTGTATTTGGACCTCTGTGGCTTCTTACTCATGAAAGTAAAGTTCAAGATAATAACAATGGATTATTTTTTAATACTTCTTCCTTTTGTTGAAAGGGTTTTGTGTACTGTGGTTGAATAGCTGGGATATGAGTTAAAAAGTCCACCATGACAAATACATGTTTAGCAAAAAACTTCAACTTTTTTCCTCACTGCACATGCACAATAGTGTCCCCCTTCCTCCACTAGTAGCTCTGTCTTGTAAACTTTCATTTGCTCAAGTGGTTTTAATCTGTCTTGAAAGGAACAGTGTAACCTGCTATGCCCAGCACGCTTCAAGAAAAAAATGTAATGGCTTTTAGAGCAGTTATTAACACTAATGTTAAAAAAGGAAGAAGTTGCTACATGAGTTATCAAAGACCAATTACATACAAATGAGGTAATTACAAAAATATCTGCCTCCTGTATATTTTTAGGATGATGTTTCTTTACTGCTTTGCTGACATCTTGCAGTGGAATGGCATTATTTGTCCTCCAGGCAGGTCTTGTAGGTGGTTTTGGTCTTCGGGGGGGGTTGGTGGTGGTGTAGAAGATGAGGAATATATCTGGTACTTACAAAACTGTGTCAGTATACATGGGGGAAGGAAGAAAACATTTAAAAGAACAGAGCTCACCATGAAGAATAAGAAGATTGGTGAATAACTCTGTAATAAGGAAGTGTTTGCTTATACCTGCTTGTGACGACCCTGTGCTAGCACCTAGGTCTTTCAATTTTGCTGGAAACTGGCCTTATAAAATTGATATCACGAAAATAATGAGGATTACTATGTTTGTGTAGTAGTTTAAGCCCAGAGTGCAACTGAGCATCATACAGCTGCTCGCTCACTCCTTACCCCCACAAAAGGCTGGAGGATTGAAACAAGGGCAGGGAGGGATGATCACCCATTATGGTCACAGGGAAAAGACAGACTTGGTTGGGGAAGAAAAAGAACATCAATTTAAATTAAACACCACCACCATTTAATTTTACAGTCAGAGTAGGACAGTGAGAAATACAACCACGCCTTCAAAACACCTTCTCCCACCCCTCCCTTCTTCCCAGGCTCAGATTTGCTCCCGATTTCTCTCCCCCCTCCCCTGCAGCGGCGCAGGGGACGGGGACGGGGGCTGTGGTCAGGGCATCTCCCCTTGTTTCCACTGCTCCTTCCTCCTCGGGGGCAGGACTCCTCGCATTCTCCCCCTGTGCCAGCGTGGGGTCCCTCTCACGGGAAGCAGTCCTCCAGGAACTGTCTCTGACGTGAGACCTTCCCGTGGGGTGCAGCTCCCCCCAGACTGCTCCAGCGTGGGTCCCTCCCGTGTGTCACAGCCCTCCCAGTGCTGAACTACAGCAGCGGGGGCTGCCCTCGGCGTCCCGGCCTCCCCCAGGCACAGCCCCTCTCCGGCGTGGGGTCCTCCCCGGGCTGCAGGTCGGCATCTGCTCCCCCGGAGCCCTCCATGGGCGCAGGGACAGCCCGTCCTCTCCCCAGGGGCTGAGGGGGGGCTCTGCGCCAGCCCACCTCCCCCCCGCCGCCTCCTGCCTTCCGCTGACCTCGGGGTCTGCAGAGGTGTCTCCCTCGCAGCTCCTCCTCGCAGCTCCCGCTCCTCCTCCAGTTCCCCTCCGTAAATCCGCTGTCACAGAGGGCAGACACCGTCACTACTTGGTCGAGGCAGGTCTGACTTGGAGCTGGGAGAGTTTCGAGAAGCTTCTTACAGGAGCCACCCCTGTAGCCTCTTCCCCCCCTACCAAAATCCTGACACACACAAACCCAACACAGTTTGCTATCTATTATTTTGCAGGGAT